TATATCTTGGAGCATGAAATACTCACAGCTGTCCTGGCATGTCTTGATAACAAGTTCACTGATTCCAGACCAAAATTATTTATTTGCAGCAAATGTAAAGAAATTGTGATATTCCTTACTAGGTCACAATTTAAGACTCAAGGAATATCTTTAAGTAAACAGGGTGGGGCAAAAGTAGGTTTATAGTTCATATGAAAAATAATACAGTAATTAATAAATAAGAGTACAAGAATAAACTGTTTTTGCATACTCACAACTATAAACCTACTTTTGTCCCACCCTGTACATAGCAGATACCCAGGAATAAATCTTAGAGAAAATGTAAAAGACCCAAGTGAAAATTATACAAACTTTATTTAAAGTCAAAGAAGTAGAGATAAATAAATGGAAATATATGCTATGTGCATAGGTGAGAAAACTCAATATAGTTATGATGACAATTCTCCCCAAATAAGTCTATAAAGTCAATGTAATTACAGTTAAAATTGAAGCAGTTTTTCTTTTTTGCTGTTGAGGACCATTGGGGGGTGGGGGGGACGCAGAAAGCACTCTTCAGAGATTTATTTAGCTTTTTTAAATTAATGTTTGATTTATTAAAATTACAAATAAAAAAAAACTGTTCTCCTAAAGCTTTTATATTCAGCTAAAAATCCCAAACTATAAATTTAGCAAATTTTCACAATCACTTTTAAGAGGTCTTTGGGTAAAATTTAGTTCCACTCCAAATTTTAACTCTCCAACATTTTAAATCACACTTATAAATGTAATACATTCATTTTCTTGTAAATATTGTGCTTGTCTGTTTTAAAAAATAAAATCTTTTCACGTGCCTAAGTTATTTTCACAAAGCTAATTAATTATATTTAAAATTTGTAAGGAGAAAATTTACATATTCCACAGCTGAATTGCGACACCTCACAATTCTCATGTTGAAGTCCTAACCTCCAGTAACCCAGAAGGTGGCTGCATTTGGAGATAAGACGAGAAGATTAAGACACAGACACACACAGAGGAAAAACCGTGTGAAGACACAGAGAGGAAATGGCCATCAGCAAGCAAACCAGGAGAAAGACCTAAAAATAAAAGCAACCCTGCTTTCTTCTTGATTTTGTACTTCTAGTCTCCAGAACTGTGAGGAAATAAATTTCTATTTTTAAGCCACCAGTCTGTGGTAGTTTGTTTTGGGAGCCCTAGCAAACTAATACTAGTACACCTTGGCTCTTAATTAATACATGTAGATGTGAATGTCTTACTTTGAATTGGAGGAATTCCCTCATATCCTTAGAGTCATTCTTAATGATATGGAAATAATATTAATTTTCATGGCTTTGTTTGACTAGTCAATCACAATTTCCATTAGGATTTTACTGATAATTCTAAATTCAGGTAGAAGAGCAAAGGATCCAAATGTTACAACATTTATGAAAGAAGAAAATTGTATAGGCTTTCACCTGTCAGATATCAGGATTTATTATAAAGTTGCAAAAACTAAAATCTTGTGTTACTACTGTGGGCATAGACTAAGAAACTAATGGAACAGAATACCCACAAACAGACCTATCCTTATACAAAAGAAGCACTAAAGATGAGTAGGGAAAGGATGTACTGTTTAATGAATGATTGGTTATCAATGGGAACTAGTTAACCATATAGGAAAGTATTAAAAAATTAAATCCCTAAAGCAGCAGTTTTTAACCTTTTTCATCTCATGGCTTACATAAACTAATTACTAAAATTTACAGCACACCAAAAAAAATATTGTATTTTTTTCCAATCTGATAAAAAAAAAATACAGGTATAATTTTGATTCACTCACACCAGATGGTTATTGTTGTGTTGGCTGTTGTCATTTTTTTATTTGACAATCTAGGGGGAAAGAGGTCAGTGCCCCTGACTAAATAATCAGGTATTGCATGTAGCAGTACACCAGAGTAATTCTTTTTCTTTTTTAAAAAAATATATTTTTATTGATTGTAGAGAGAAAGGGAGAGGGATAGAGAGATAGAAACATCAGGCATGTGTCCTTGGCCAGAATCGAACCTGTGACCCTTCATTCCGCAGGCCGACGCTCTATCCAGTGAGCCAAACCGGCTAGGGCACCAGTGTAATTCTTGAGGGATACCAGATGAAAAATCCCTGCCCTAAAGCAAAATAAAGCAAAACAAAAACTCCCCGGTGGATTGAAACAATTCTAATAAATTTTTTAAAGAAAACAAAATTCTAAAACTGTTAGAAGACAACAGATAAAAACTCTTTTTTATGGCCCAATGGTAGAAAAAGTTTTGCTTGATTTTATTTTTTTCAACCAAATGCAAAAACCACAAAACATGAAGGAAGGATGACACATCTGACTACTTGAAAGTTAACTTCTGTACAACAAAGTATGCCATAAAGAAAGGGTAAAGATGAGCCGAAGGCTAGAAAAAGATTTTCATATGGGTCATTTCAAAGAGAGCTTGTGGGACCAAAACCAGGAGCTCTTAGTGCTGTGGCCTAAGATTGAAGTTCTCCATAGGATATAACAGGCTGTTTTAGAGTTATCTTACTCCCAGTAAAGAGTTCTTTCCATTTGGCTGTCGTACAGTTGTTTATCCATAGGATATAATAGACAATAGTGCTATGTTTCCTAAGAAGATATAAGATTTAAAAATAATAATAAAATAAAAGATTGTCATTGCTTCATCATTGACAAGACTAGTAAACTGACTATACAAATATCTTCTAAAAAATTACTTCAAAACCCCAAATTTCAATTAAAAATGGGCAAAGAATATGAATATGCACAGAGCAGAAATAAACACATTAAAAAGATACTCCGCAGGAGTAGAGAGGGGGGGTTAATAGGGGGAAAAGGGGACATATGTAATACTTTCAACAATAAAAAATTACTTTAAAAAACACAATAAAGATAAATTTTAAATAAGTAAATAAATACTAACACATGATCTTTTTCACATAAAAAAAGAGTCTCCCTAGTAAGCAAAGATATGCAAATTAAAGGCACAATGAAATTCATTCAACCCACCAGACTTGAAAACTTTTTAAATGTCTGAGGACACCATGTTTTGGGAGGGAAAAAGCAACTTTCATAACTACACATACAGAGTGTCATTTACATAAAGCTTTAAAACAGGGTTGGGGATCCAAAGGGCCGTACAAGCCCCAAGAAATCCTTTGGTCTGACCCTGCCAAGACATTAGGGGTGAGTTAAAGAAATGTTTGATCAAATGTATGATCAAATAATTTTTAATTTGAGAATTTTATATGGCCCAAGAATGATGTTATAAATATCCAAATGGCCCATAGCAGAAAAAAGGTTCCCCACCCCTGCTTTAAAATGTGCATAACAATAACACTATTGTGTATGGATGCACAAACTCTCAGCAATAAAACAAAAACAAAAACACTGGGCTCAGAAATAATTAACTCTAAATTCAAGATAGTATCTTGAAGTGAATAGATTAGGGAGGGGAACACAAAGAACTTCCATTTTGTTTCCATAGTTTTACTTCTTTAAAAACCCAAAACAAAATAAAGTTGGAAACAAAAATGGCAAAATGGCAAGGTTTGATATATTTGGACGGTGAATCCATAGGTATGCCTTATAATAGTCTCTACGTTTTAGGAATGAAATGTTTGTTATAACATGGTTTAATCTGAAGAATAAAACGTGCGGGCGGGTTTTTTTTTTCATTTTTGGTACATTTGATCTCATAAGGAATATTTTTGTTTTCTTTTTTTCCTCTTTTAAAATTAAAAATTGTTTATACTTAAAATGTGCAACATAATAAAATGATTACTCCAGTTAAGGTAATTAACATATCCATTTCCTCACATAGTTACTTTTTTTGTGTGTGTGGTGAGAACGCCTGAAATCTACACTTAGAAACGTTCCAATATTCAATACAGTATTAACTATAGTTTACAACTTTTAAAACTGTTTTAAAGTTATCTTACTCCCAGTAAAGAGTTCTTTCCATTTGGCTGTCATACAGTTGTTGATCCATTCATCAAATGTATTTTGAGAATACAATCTCTGCCAGACTATGAGGATATCATAAAAGAATATGATAAAACATATCAATAAAGTAAACTTTCTCAAGCAATTTGTATTCGAGTGAGGAAGTTGTTAAACCAAACAAGAAAAACAAAAGAAAGAAATATATAGGATATAAAGGGATAATAACGAAGAGACGACATACACGTTGCAAAGAGGAAGGGGAATGTGCATCTGTCGGGGGTAGCCAAAGCCGATTTCAAGGAGATGCTTTTGAGCTGACTTAAGGGAGAAGTGCCTGCCAAGGGTGCAAAGGCATCCCAAGCAGAGGGAACAGTGTGCAGAGAACTTGAGAGGCGAGCAGAGAACCACAGGCTGGCGCAGCGGGTGGAGTGACGAGCTGGAGGGAGGATTTCAAAATTAGAAGCTAGAGAGGAAGGGGGCTTGATGTGGGCGCCGGACGTGTCGGAACTGGTGCTATACTTCGTTCTACAGGCAGGAAACGGCGGCCCTGCAAGCGTTGACATAACTTCCACTGTGCACGACTAGTAAGGACCAGAACTCAGGGTAATAATCTACCTCTAATTGTGAAAGGGCTACCGTGCAGCCACCTTAGCCCCCAAATCAAAATTACATCAAGTTCATTCTCCAAGTTGCCTATTATGTCCCACTTGAGTTTCCCCTTTTCTGTCGGCCCCAAACCGCCTAAGGACGCAAACCGTCTCGACCACCCCTCCCATTAGGCCGCCCAGGGCCTCTTAAAAAGCCACGAGGGCTCCTAGAAGTTTGCACGCAGGAGGCTTCGGGAACTACAAGTCCCAGCATGCAACCCTCCCCGTAAGAAAAAGGGCCACTAAGCGGACCATCATGCAACGCTCTCCGAAAGCGGGTGGGGCTCTCGATAGGGGGCGGCCGACTTATAGCGTCGCCTAGGCAGCTCCAATCACGGGACAGAATACACTTCCGCTTCCGACTCCGAGTCCTAGAACCGCGAATACGCGCAGCTTCGCCGCGGAGACGTCACTCGCCCGCGACCGTACCGGCCCGGAGGTTCGGCGGAGCGGTCCCTCTCCGGCGTGGCTTTCTGGGACGGTTGCCTGTCGCCGCGGCCTCTGACCTGGGAGCGACGAGGAAAGCGGCGAGATGACGGACCGCTACACCATCCACAGCCAGTTGGAGCACCTGCAGTCCAAGTACATCGGCACGGGCCACGCCGACACCACCAAGTGGGAATGGCTGGTCAACCAGCACCGCGACTCCTACTGCTCCTACATGGGCCACTTCGACCTCCTCAACTACTTCGCCATTGCGGAGAACGAGAGCAAAGCTCGAGTCCGCTTCAACTTGATGGAGAAGATGCTGCAGCCCTGCGGACCGCCGGCCGACAAGCCCGAGGAGAACTGAGGTCCCGCCGGTCCGCGCTGTGCGGGAGAGCACCCGTGTTCCTCCGGTGTGGGTGTGCCGTCCCTCCCGCGCGCCCTGACCCGGGGGGACCGGTTCTGCGTGCCTCCGGCGTCTCCCCGAACAGACGTGCTTCCTCCGGGCGCCTCTCCTGACCTGCCTGCGTGTGGACCCTCGGAACACAGCGCTGGGGCCCCCGAGACTGTGACCTTGGCGACCCTGAAGCCAGCGAGCGTCAGGGGAGACGGAATAGGGAGGCTCGCTTTTAGCCCGTTGATCGTCGCTGTTGGTTTTTCCATAAAGTTCAGAAAATGTTCAGTCTCTTGGTGTGGGCTGCTTGTGTTCGGGTGGAGGGGTTCAGGGAGGGTTCCGGGGACTGCCGTTTCTTGGGAGTCCGAACCGGAAACGTGGGCAGGGGTGTGGGCGCGGGGCCAGCGCTCTCTGCCTGACACTTAAATCCGCCCTGCACTGCCTTAAAAAATTTCTCCCAGGAGCCTTTGCAGGTCCGTAATGCCTTCAGTATTGAGGTTTGTGATCATTGTATCCCACCATCCTTTTCTCCCATTCAAAAAATCTTTTCTATTATTGCCCTCCTCTCTCTCTGAAATTGCATCCTCTCTTTCTCTTGGGACTTTGTGGACAGGTCATGAGAAATGACAAGCTGTCAAAAGAGTTTTCATTCATTCAACATTCAACAAGTATTTGTTAAGCCCTACATGGTAGGCATTGTTTCAGGCTTCGGGGCCACACGAACTGTAGACATAAGCAAATGTTAGGTCCTGTAGCGAGGATAGGAATAGGTGGGGTTGCAATTTTAAGTAGAATGCTCATGTTAGATTATTGAGATGGTGACATTTGAGCAATGTCTTTAAGGAAGTGAGGGTAATAGCCATACAGAAAACTGAGGAAATTGCTTTCCAGGCAAAGGGAACAGCCAGTGCGATGGTCCTGACGCTGGGATTGTGTCTGGTTTGTTGGAGGAACAGCAGAGGAGTGTGGCTGCAGGGAGTGAGCAAGGGAAGGAGTAGAGGGACAAGTAATAGGAAGGGAACAGAGAAGAGTCTGGTAGGCCAATGTAAGGACTTCTGACTTTTACCCTGAAGGAGATTGGTAGCCATTGCGAAATTATTAAGTGATAAGATCTGTCGTTATTTTAGATCAGTGGTTCTCAAGCATATAGGGATTCCATTACATTCCTACAAAGTTCTTGAATACCCTACAGAGCCTTTGTTTATGAGGTTTGTGGCTGCTAGAAAATTTTAAAACGTAGTAATTTATTTAAAACAACAGTAATAAAACCATTACATGCTAGCTAAAAACACTTTAAAAAAATTTTTTGTTGTTAATCCTCACCCAAGGATATTTTTTCCATTGCTTTTTAGAGAGAGTGGAAGAGGGGGAGGCAGAGACAAACATCATGTGAGAAAGACACATTGATTGGTTGCCTCCCACAGAGACAGGCCAGTAAGCCAGGACAATCGAAATAGGGAAACAGATAGATAGCTAAACAAAATGACAGAGCAGTTTACAGCAGATACAGGGGGTCATCTCCCTAGAAGTAACATCTGGACCTCAGTTGTATTTCAGCTCCAGATCTAGAAAAGCAGCAAAACCAGGTGGGTAACACCAGGACCATCTGACACCAATCAGAGGAGACCACCGCCCTGGAGGAGCACACCTAGAAAACAGAATATTCTGCTAAAACCCTCCTAAGATTTTCATCTGCGGAGAAGCTAAAACCTCAAGACAAAAGACCCAGTGTGTGCTCTCCCTCTGGGGGGCAGCCTCCCCCACCCCAGCCATTCCCTTTCCCTCTTCTCCCACAGGCATGCATCTCCTGTGGGCCTTATCATTTGGTCGGGCCCTGCCAAGGCATTAAGGGTGAGTTAATTAAATGTTTGATCAAATATAGCAGGCTAATTTTTAGGTTGGTAATTTTGTATGGCCCTCGGATGATTTATAAATACCCTATAGCCCTTGGCAGAAAAAAGGTTCCCCACTCCAGGAGACTTGCAACCAGGGGAGCAATGGGCAGCAGCAGCTTGTCCCAGGCTAACCCCTGAAACTGATCCCAAGGTCTTTTTTCTGACTTCCCAGAGGCTAAGGCAGCACAGCCTGCGCTCTCCTGTTGCTTCTTCTATGCTAATCCCTTGCTTGTTTACGTCCCCAGTTTTAATAAATGTTCCCTCATAGTCATCTGGACTCATGTTGTGAAATTTTTCCTTCACGAAATCAAGAACCCACACACTACCGGCTGGCCTTAGGCAGGCCCACCAAGGGCCAGGTCCACTTTCGGGTAACACCACAGGCTCCTGGACCTGGGTGAGGGATAAACTTGTAACCCAAGTGCCCTTGACAGGGAATCAAACTTGAATCAAGACCCTTCAGTATGCAGTGCAACACAAACCAGTGAGGCACACTGGCCAGGGCAACACTTTTAAAAATATCTTCTTTTAAACAATTTTGCACATCTTCAATGTCTACCTTAGGAGAAAGCTGGATTCTACTACCTACTTCTGCATTCAAACTATTGGGATATGAAGTTCTCATTGAAGTATGAAAAAATTACTCATGTAGTAAGGGAGAAATATTTTAATAACCTTTTCAAATAATTGTGGATAATCTTTGATACTCTAGCAAAACCCAACAAGTAGTAATTTCTTAAAAGTTTGTTATGGCATAGAATTTGATCAGTGAATTTTTCAGTCTCTATTACATTAAAATGTATTCATGTATCTTAAACTTTGAATAGATCTTTTACCCATACATTATTTTGCAACGTCATGCGTCAGTAGTTTAAAAAGTATTGGCTCACTGAGTTATATAGACTTTCCAAATGTTGACAACATGTCATACATATCAAGTCACATATCACCACTGATTTTATCAGAAGAGTCTTACTGTATTGGGAAGTGGGAAAACTACAGTGAGTAGTATCAGTTTTTCACAATTTTAAGTTTTTGCTTGGTAGCCTAAATTTGATCACTGGTAGCAAATACGTACTATCTGTTGTTTTCCTTGAAGTGACAGGCCCACTTAGTTCGTTTTCAAGAAAATATCTGCTTAATGCCAATTCTGAATAATAGTAGTTTGGTTCTTTCCAGTAAAAATTGTGTTCCTTCAGAAAAAAAAAAATAGCCAGTTCAGTTTGCAACTCAAATTATGCTTTCCTTTGAGAAAACCATTGTACTTGGTGGCAGCAGAAACGCTTTATGCGTATTACCAGTTTTATCCTATGAAAAACTTCAAAAGATGTGTTCTCCAGCTAAGATTCATAAAATCAATACTTATGACTGCTTCATCAAGAACATGTTTAAGTTGATTTTTTGGTTTTCTTTGTTTTATTGAGAAGTTTATGACAGTGGAGAATGCAATGACATTTAGTAGTTTGGTGCCACTGCCTTGATTCATGCTAAGTGCTGGTAGTTTTACTCACGGCTGCTTTTGTGCCCTCTGTACAAATGTTAATGCAGTGGAAATGGCACATAAAGTCTTACTACGCAAAAAGGTTAAACTAGACCACCAACTTATACCATACACAAGAATAAACTCAAACCGATAAAAGACTTAAATGTAAGTCATGAAACCATAAAAACCCTAGAAGAACATATAGGCAGTAAAATCTCAGACATCTCATGTAGTAGAATTTTTGCCGATACATCTTTTAAGGCAAGAGAAAAAAGGAAAAAATAAATAAATGACATTACATCAGAATAAAAAGCTGCACAGCGAGAGAAACCATCAAAATGAAAAGGGAACCCACTGTATAGGAGAACATTATTTGCCAATGATACATCTGATAAGGGGTTAATATCTTTTTAAAAATAAATTTTTAAAATATGTTTTTATTGATTTCAGAGAAGCAAGGAGAGGGAGAGAGAGAAAGAAACATCAATGATGAGAGAGAATCATTGACCGGCTGCCTCCTGCATGCCCCCTACTGGGGACCAAGCCCACAACCCAGGCATGTGCCCTGAATGGGAATCGAACCATGGTCTTCTGGTTCATAGGTCGACTCTCAACCACTGAGCCACTCCGGCTGGACTGGGAGGTATTATCTTTGTTTTACAGATGATATAGGTTCAGAAAAGTAATTTGCTCAAGGTCACCCAATTACTATGTGACTAGGCCAGAATTTGAACCAGGTCTATCTAGTTCCAAAGTACAAAGTCTTAAATATACTGTTGTTCAAACAGGTCTAGTATATAAAAATCACATTAGAATAATTTAAAATCGATGATTGTCTTAGATAAAAAATAGAAATATTAAAAGTGTCAGAGACAGTGCTCTTGGCAGTCCCAGATCTGTCTCTTGCTTCAACAGTGTTTGGACAAACAGACCCAGGGACACCCCTTCTTCCAGCCTCTGACCACCTTCCACTGTCTTTTCCAGGCACCACCTTCAGAACCACCTCAGCCTCTGAGACCAGCCAACCTCTGAGACCAGCCAACACCGTTTCTTTTTCTGCCTCAATTACTTATTGCCAAACAACCATGAGCTCCCAAATTCATCAGAATTATTCCACCGAGGTGGAGGCTGCTGTCAACCTGCATCTGCGGGCCGCCTACACCTACCTCTCTCTGGGCTTCTATTTCCTCTGAGACGATATGGCTCTGGAGGGCGTGGGCCACTTCTTCCACGAGTTGGCAAAGCGCAACTCTTAAGTGTGAGGGCACTGAGCATCTCTTAAGATGCAAAACCAGCGCGGTGGCCACGTTCTCTTTCAGGACGTGCTGAATGAAGCCTCCCCAAGACGAGTGGAGTGAAGCTCAGGACGCCATGGAAGCCGCCCTGGCCTTGGAGAGGAGCCTGAACCAGGCCCTTTTGGAGCTGCAGGCCCTGGGTTCCACTCGCTCAGACTCTCATCTCTGTGACTTCCTGGAGGTGGAACTCATCAAGAAGATGGGAGACACCTCACTCACCTCCGCAGGCTGCTGGCCCCCGGGCTGGGCTGGGAGAGTATCTCTTTGAAAGGCTCACTCTCAAGCAGGACTAGGGGCCTTTGGAGCCCAAAGGCCTTTGAGGGGCCTGTCTGCATCCCCCCGGTGTCTGGCTTTTGCCTGAGCCTCTCCCCAAAACCACTAGCCATTCTTTATGCATTGGACCAAATGGAAAAAATAAAGCTTTTTGCAGGAAAAAAAAAAGTTTATAAATTATACTGAAGGAATATTAAACCAATATGGAAGTTCTTATATAACTAAGTAAAAATGCAACTTGAAATATTTTGAATAAAGATGATTTTAATGGGAAGAGTAATAATTTGTGTGTGGGGGAAAATCCATTTAAAGTGTAGTCCTGCCAGAAACCGGTTTCGCTCAGTG